TTGTCTTGACGCTGTTGATCTGTGCGCCACGCTCCGCATCCGCACCCCCACCTTCCAATCAGTCCCCCGGCGGCTCCTGCCAACTTATAAACACGCCCTTCGCATGGCGCTTGACGCCATCAACTCCCCCACATCCAACCCTGTCGACACCGAACGCGGGTGGAAACTGTTCCTACTCGCTCCACGCCTCCTCCTGCACCGCCCCACCCACCAAACCCTTGCCACCCCTGAGGAACTTGACCGGCGGGCGGCCCTCTTCCGAACCGGCGAGTGGCTCCAACTCCTCCACGAGTCCTCACCCGCCCCACGCCGCACACACCCGACCCCCTCCCCCAACTCACCCACGGACAGCGCGCGAGCCCAACGGGCCATGACCCTGGTCCAACAATGCGAGCTGTCTGCCGCCAGTGCCGCCCTCACCGCGTCCCCGCTGGCTCCCCTCACGCCAGCCACCCTGGCCGAACTTCGCCACGCCGACCGCCGCCCCCAACAACCCCAAGTCCCCATCGACCCCTACTTGCGAATGGGCTCGCCCTCGGATCCCCTGCACCTTGACACTGCTCGCCTCCTCGCCAACTTGCGCACAGGCCGCCGCGGCGCTGCACCAGGCCCCTCCGGGATGACCACCGAACACTTGCGAGTGGTTCTAGACTCGGACGAAACCACCCTCAAACTTACCGCTGCAGCCACCCGCCTTGCCACAGCGGCCCTCCCACCCAACATCCTCCTCGCCCTCCGCCTCGGACGCATGGTCGCCCTCCAAAAACCCAATGGCCGGGTCCGCGGGCTCGTCATGGGAGATGTGTTCCGCCGCCTTGTCGCCCGAACGCTCGCACAACAGTTCAGCCCCCAGTTCCAAACCGCTACTGCCCCCCACCAGTATGCGCTTGCCACACGGGCTGGAGGCGAAGCACTTGCACGGTCCGTGCGGGTTGCCACAGAGTTGCAACCAAACCTCACCGTCCTGTCCGTCGATGGCGTCGGCGCGTATGACCATATTGCGCGCCAGGCCATCCTTCAAGGCATCCACGGTGACCCGGGCCTCCGCCCCCTACTCCCATTTGTGAGGCAATTCTACGCGTCCCCTTCCGAGTACCTCTGGTATGATGCGGCTGGCACATGTCACCCCATCCACCAGCACGAAGGTGGCGAACAGGGGGACCCCCTCATGCCAGGCTTGTATGCGGTCGCAGTGGCGCCGGCCCTACAGGAAACCCACCGCGCACTCCTCCCCGGGGAAGCGCTCCTGGCATAACTGGACGATACTTACATCCTCTGCGCCCCTGAGCGCACGCGGGTCCTCTACGAACATCTGGAACAGGCACTCCGGCGCCACGCCAACGTCACGTTACACCAAGGCAAAACCCGCATGTGGAACGCTAGTGGTGCCTCCCCCACTGCCTGGCCACCCGCACCCCCTGACGCGCCGCCGCTCTGGGTTGGCGGTCCCGACACCCCGCCTGCAGAACAAGGCGTCACAGTGCTAGGTACCCCCATCGGAAGCCACGAGTACATCCTCGCCCATCTCCGTGCCACGCGCGCAAAACATGATGCACTCCTTACAGCCATCCCCACCCTCCCTTCCCTCCAAGCCAGTTTCCTGCTTCTGCTCTATTGTGCCAACCCCCGCCCAAACTACCTCTTACGCACCGTGCCACCAGAGCAAACCCTTGAATACGCAGCCGCCCATGACGCTGCGATGGCCCGGTGCCTCGCAACATTGCTGGACCGGCCAGATGGCCTCCCCGCCACCAACCATGCCCGCGCCCGCCTCAGCCTTGCCCATGGCGGCCTGGGCCTTCGGTCGGCCACCCACCATCGCCATGCGGCCTATTGGGCCAGCTGGGCTGACACCTTACCCGCGGTACACGCACGATGGCCAGCAGTTGCCGATCAACTCGGCCAACTGCTAGCTAACAGGGGAGTCCCGAGCTCGCCCCCCGAGCGTCCAAGCTGCAGTTTCCGCCGCAGCTGAACTCCAACGTGCCGGCTTTACCCCCCCTCCCTGGGGCTTGCTCATCACCGGCAGCCCCCCGCCCCCAACCCCCCCGAACCCCTCACGCGGCGACCCGCTGCGTGGATGGCAACGTGCCTCCGGGGCCGCGATCGACCAAGAAGATTTTGCAGCGCTTTTTACCACCCTGCCCGACCCCGAGCGCGCACTTCTCCTGTCGCAAGCGGGCCCGCACGCCGCCACCACTTTCACCACCATCCCCACTTGCCCCGAGTTCCATTTCGACAACCCCCACTATCGCACCCTACTCCTCCGACGGCTCCGCCTGCCGTTGGGGTTTGCCCCCGCTCGCTGTCGCTGCGGCCGCCCCCTAGACGCGTTCGGCGACCACCGCGCCGCATGCGCAACTAGCGGGGCCTTGCGCACCCGAGCCGTGCCAATTGAAAGAACCTTGGCCCGCATCCTCCGCGAGGCCGGGGCTCGCGTGCACATGCACGTCCCCCTAGCCCACATGAACCTTGACCCGCCCCCCGCGGATGGACGCGCCATCGAAATCCTCGCACAAGGCCTCCCCCTTTGGCACGGCGCACAACTTGCGGTTGACGCAACCCTTGTTAGCCCCGTTGGCCGGGATGGCGCGGCACACCCCCATGCTGCCACCACCCCCGCAACCGCCATCACCCAGGCTACGCGGCGCAAACGCATCTCGGTCTACCCTGAGTTTGCATCCCAACGCCGCTGCCGTCTTGTCGTTGTGGGGCTGGAAATCGGCGGGCGCTGGGGCATTGAGGCCCAGTCCCTTGTCCACAGCCTCGCCGCGGCCCGAGCCACCCCCCCTGGCCTCCAAGCGGCCGCGGTTGGCGCTTACACACGCCGCTGGGCAGCTCTTTTGAGCTGCACAGCCCAGCGGGCCTTCAGCGCGAGCCTGCTGGAGCTACCCTTGGGCGCCACCGACCACACCGACGGCGACCCTCCCCCTTTTTTCGATCTCCTCGCCGAAGCGCGAGGAGACGACCCCCCCCACCCCAGCCGCCTCCCTCTAAGACAGGGGATCTGACCATGTGACCAATGGCGGTGAAAAAGGTGTCGCAGGAAAAAAACAAACATGGTAAACTCTTGAGTTGAATGGCTTTCCCCCCGTGATCCAAAGACCGCGAGGAGCTTTTCATTCGCGCAGACGAGCCCCCGGGTGAACCAACCGTGGAGGCACAGGGCTGGAAACCATGGGATTTTATCATTAACGATGGGACAAGTTCCGGCTTTTTTTTCCGTTGAAATATCCTTGATGACTTATGACAGAAAGCATGTTTTTTTCGATCTTTGATTTGGGTGGTTGCCTCTTATAGTTGTGCCTGGATGTTGCAGGTACGAGTTTAAGTCCTGGATAGCTTTGGTTTTTGCAGGTCTATCTATCTCGACGTTTCGTTTTTTTCCGGATGTTCCCTGGGAAGCACAAACCCAGTGTGTCAACAGGGTGCTCCCCGAAATGAGTCATACTGGATCATTTCAGCTCCTTTCAATGCTCACCCTCCGCTGTTTTTTTTAAAGATACAAATTCACAATCATGCCTACATGACTGTTGCACTTCTCAAACTATCTATGGATGATTTTCCATAATTGCCCATATTTGCCCACATTTTCCCATATGTTTCCCCTTGGGAAACTGGTGTTTACCAGCCATGTTTTTTGTGGTTTCCACTGGAAACCACCTTCCTTCGAGGCGTCGCCTGAAGGGGACCTGCGGCTTCAAGACATTTTGAATCACAATGTGGCTGGACTTGGTGGGAGAGCGGCGAAAGGAGCAGTCCAACATGCTTTGCACAAGAAGCTCGCTGGTGAAAATTGCATATGATCCTCCTGATTTTATAATTTTTCAATTAGAATAAGGTAGATTCATGAGGCCTAGGGGCATGCATTCATTGGAAAATTAATCAAATTAATATTATGAGACGTATTGTTAACTAACTGTTAGACATGGATAAGTTTCTGATAAATAGATAAACCCATTTTTTGGAAACTCGCTTGGTGATAAGAAACTCGCTGGTGCAAACCAATTAACTCACATATGGTCTTCCTGATAATAATTGATCAATTAGAATCTGATATAACTTAGATATGATTGAGGATAGGATTCGGATGTAACAAGATACCACTGACAAACAAGTAAATCATGATTCCGGGGAAATACTGGGATTAAATTGGGATAGCACTCTGGCCGTTCACGGGTGATTGTTCAGGGGAAGATTCCAACAGGTACACCACTGGAACATGAGGCCCTACATGAGTACATCAGCTGCGCAAGTTTTTTCCTGCGTTTAAAAAAATCATAAGATGCCAACTTTTTGCCATTTGTTTTGGTGTATTTCTGCTGGCTCTTTATGCCTCGTTTCATATGTGGCAGTCAGGGATGCGCAACGGCAAAAGAGATAGGGATTCATCACGATCAAATCAGATGTATCACCACTGTACTTTAATGAATCAATGATTGGTTTAAGGGACAATTTACAGGAAAGCCCCATATTTAATGGGAAAATCTATGGTTTCCTGTAGGTTTTCCCTTAAACCAATCCATTGATTAATGAAGCAATGATACCTACTAGTACAATCTAGTACCGGAATCTTCATGGAATCCAGGCATGAAGTCGCACCCTCCAACCATTCGAATGGTTGGGCAACATCTGCCAGCCTCGTTTGATCATCCATGGTACCATGACCGAACAGGACACGGCCAGGACCCAAGAGGTCCACATCTCAGTCTTTTTTTGCGCAAAACGTCATCCTTCACAGATGTGTCATGATAGTCATGTCTACAGAAACATCTGAACTCATGTCTATACTAATATGATCTCATATGGGGATGTTTTCTTGGTACCCCAATAGCATCCAATAGCTGGATGGTTTATTTCATGGAAATTCCATTACTATACATGGATGGTGACTGGGGGTACCCCTATGACTTAGGAACCCCCCCATATAAATGCAACTAGATACTACGTTGCTATGTAAACAAGGGCGAACCGCTGATCGCTTCCAACCTTCATCCGCCATGTCGGTTGAACTCTGTGACTCTGACAACGACGTGGTCGCCACTGCGGACGCGCCCGCGCCGCAAAAACCGTCCGCCCCGGCGCCGGCGAAGGCCAGCGCTGCACCGGCGAAGGCGGAGAAGAAGCGGAGCAGAGAGGCGGCGCCGCCGTTGCCCTATGGATGGATTCGGAAGGAATCCAAATCCAAGAAGGGAGCGTATCTCGGTCAGCTGGATCGCTTTATTTTGATTTACCTACTATGCTGTATTTGCTATTGTAATACATCTTTATCATCTTTTGCTGCTTAAGATATATGGGGGGAATGTTAGCGAACCAGTTCCAACAAACTATAAACACACACCATTTTTGGAAGATTGGCCAAGGTATTACTATGCCAACATCTTGACAGGTGCCTCGGTCATCAGAAAAGACCGGCGCTCCAAACAATCTCAACTGAGATTGTTAATTGCAGGTTCATGATTGTCAGTTGTAGTTTCAGATGTTTGACCGTTTGACCTGTGTATTTTTGGGATTAGTGATTCTAGAATGCTACAAACCAGTTGAGGCCTGTACCTTGTATGCCTTTGCGACGTCATTTCTTTCTCAAAACCGGTTTGCATGCGCATGTAAGCAACCCGCATGTTTCATTGCTGGTAAATTCAGTTTGCTTCCTGTGAATCTTCACCTACTATTTGCCTGTGACCTATGATTTAGCATGATTTAGCCATATCACAGAAGTTCATAGGACATGTGACATGACACAAGAAACAGGCATAATATATATATACAGACAATTAAAAAACACACACACATATGTATATATATAATTATATATATACAACTATATATACATATATAAATGCAATTGTGTATATATATATATATGTGTGTGTGTGTATCAAAGAATTTCATACTGAAAAAAACATGGAATTCATGTCATTTCGCCTGTGACGATAGAGATTTCGAGGAAAGACACAAGTTGAACGCCCTGGGCCAAAGATTGCTCGGAGTCGCCCTGCAGGCAGGGGAAAGCGGCTTTGGCAACTTTGGGTGTGGGAAATGTCAGGCTTTGGCCTTAAAACATGAGCCATCCCATTAATCACCAATAAGCCAAAGTTGGAGATGGTTTGATTATGGTTTTTGCCTCATCAAAGCGTTTTAATATTTTTAATATCGTGTTTTAATTGTGGTTCAAATCAGGAGTTGAGTTCTCAAAGTTTCAAACATAGTCTAGTGTTTTCATGATGATCACTCTTTTAGCGTTTGCCATTTTCTTACTGGTGCTAAACACTACACAGGGAATTTTCGGGAATGATCCATAATCACTAGTAATAATCATCCCAGCAACACCCGTTCCTATCCATTCCCTACTAAGCACCAGTAAGTTTTTGGGGGTATACCCCATTTCAGGCATCAGCCACATCATTTTCCCGAGCGTTTCTACGGGCGCTTCAGAGGAAAGGAGCCTGAGGTGGCAAAGCCGCTGGCCACGGAAGTGGTGCAACAGAGGCTGCGGTCGCCCCTTCAACAGGGTCATCGCTGGGTTTGAAAATGGGGTACATGCCCAAATTGCAATTTTGATAGGGAAAATGAATGAATATGATATCACACAATTTTCAGTCAAACCCAATGGATAGAAACATGCTAACTGGTGCCACAAAACCTTCAGTTCACCTCCACGCACCTCACCATCTGGGAGGCAAGCCGAATACGAAGCTGCTGAAGCAGAGCTAGAAGCAGCCAAACGCCAGGCATAGTCCGGTCCAAGTGCAAATTTCACAGTTTGAAGTTTGAAGCCACCTCAAAAATTGGGATTTCACCATCAAAAATGAGAGATATACCACCAATATCAGGGATTTGATGGGATTTGCCTTCAGAAACTTCACCATATTTCACCATCATTACCACCCAAAAAAGGGTTTCTCCAACTGTTTGAGGATTCTGAGCCCAAAAAAACCGATGGGAAGAGCCACTAAAATCCGCTGTCCACAGGCCGCTGAAAGGCGAGCGGCACAGAAGGTGCTGGACTGTTTGGTCCTGGGACAACAAAAGGGTGACTGCTATGGCCCGGATCTCCCCGGCTAAAACTGTAGTCTTCGCAGGGTATCTGAGTTTTTGGCTTTTTGGGATACTTTTCGGAAAAACGTTGAAGTAGAAAACAGATGATCAGTGACTGCAGATTTTGTTTAGATCCAGTTTCTTTGCCCACCACGACATCGCTTCCCCATGATCAAGACTAGCTCAAGATCAGCAAGATATGATATATATGATGGACATACGGAATAAAACAACCCTGGACGTCCTCATGAACCACCTGACGTCATGTTGTTTGCTTCTGGAACTTTGGAGGTTCTTCTGTCAATGTCAGCTGGTTGTTGGTGGTTGTGCTACCGTTACCGTGGAATCATTTTCATGCAACGGAACATCACAGGCCATGGTGGATGATGCCCATGCCGAATCCGCTGAGGTGGGTTTAGGGGGGATTTTGGGACTTGGGAATTCATCGAATGGGATTTCAGAAAGGTGTTTTAGCGACCATTAGCGACCAAAAATTGGCTGAAAAGAATCTCCCCAATGGAGATTCATTCTTGGATATAGCACAAGAATGATCTAAAATTATCCTCAGTCATGGTTGGTTAATGGAATGTTTTTTTAATCATAAATATGTTTTAAAATGTGGTTTCACATTAGTGGTGTCAATTTCTTCTTCTAAAGTGGGATGTAGAATTAATTAGATTAATTAGATATCACATGATATCACCATTCATGTGAAGAATGGATCCCACCCATTTGTTATGATAGGAATGCCTAGCTCGTCTTTTTTCGGTCGCCATGGTCCAATGGTCAGCGATAGCCAGGGCCCACTGGCCCACAGGAGAATGGCTCCGAAGAAGATGCGGTCACTGGGGAGGAGACAGTAACCGAGTCACCGGTTTGTTGCTTGTGACCTGAAACTCCAAAAAAAACACCAGTGTTACCCTCTGGTTATGACTAACATAGCTATTGAAAATGGTGATTTATAGTGGATTTTCCCATTAAAAATGGTGATTTTCCATAGTTATGTTAGTTTACCAGGGGGTAACCATAATTCTTTTTAGCATTGTGAACCATGACTAACAATTCTGACATGTTTCTCGAGTTTCCGTTTCGGGCAGAAACAGCTTTTTCCGGACGCCCTGTGCTGTGACGACGTTGAGTGCTGCGACGCCCTGTGATGTACCCTCCTTGAATCTGAGACTGTCCGCATCCCATAGGACCATCAGTCTCAGACTTATCAATTTCCAAAACCAAATTCAAGGCTTAAAACTTGCAGATGTCACGAGGGTTATTAGATTGGTGATTAACCGGACCTTCATGAGGCTTATCATCCAATATGAAAACAAACAAACTAGGACTAACTTCGTTATCAGACGTCATTAGAACACGTTACCTTTTGGTCATGCAACAGTTTCGGAAAATCATCATTTTTAAAAACATCAATAAACATCACAAAACATGTTTTTTACTAAATGAAATGGACGATCTAGTAACCATAGCAAACTGCAACAAACAACCGGTAGAACATAGGGCAGCTCCACTATGGTAGCAACCCGCTTGTGGTTTCAACAATTAGGACTTTGCCAAGTGGAAAGCACAAGAGGAACAGCGCGAAAAGCGGGAGGCCATTGTGATTGAAACATGTTGAAACGACTATAGGTGAATTCCTGTAGTTATGTGGAATATCTAAGATATATCAAATATATAACTACCATAAATCCATATAAACCCATACAATTGTAATTGTATAATCACACACATATACTATTACTATATATATATACATTCAATATAAGTTCTTGGTGTTTATAACCCGACTTAGATTGATCCACTGACTGGTCCGTGCTGGATGGGATGTTTTGGCGGATGTACCGGTTAGACATGTTTGGGTTAGGTGAACTGGTGGCTGGCCCTGGTGTACCCTCTGGTAATTTAACATAGCTATGGAAAATGGCCATTTATAGTGGATTTTCCCATGAAAAATGGTGATTTTCCATTGCTATGTTAGTTCACCAGAGGGTAATATCAATAAGATCTATACTTGACGCGACTTCAGACTGGCGGGCATCACTTTATGCATAGTATATTCACATGCATTTGGGGCATGTTTGGGGCAGATGTTCCTATCCCAGACATGGGCTACGGGAGTGACTGTAGTTCAGACCTTACAAGACCATACATAGTTTTGGTGAGTTTCTGATGTGTATATCAGCCAACTATTAGCCACAGCCAGCATTTCTGCTGATTTTATGCTAATAAGTTGCCGTGATCCACAGCCCTGGGCGACAGGGCCGGTGTCAGACGTTTGCGCAACGTTTGCGCGTCAGGTTCAGTTGAAGAACTGGCCAGCGAGTAGCGAGTTACCTCCCGTGCCTGTTGTCTCAGAGCCGGTCTTGGATGTGTTGAAGGAGAGAATGCGCAGGGCGACATGGAAATCTTCAATGGATTGGTGTGGAAAAACTATGAAAAAACGCCGGAAACCACAGATTTTCCTGCAATCAGTCCTTGAAATCAATCCATTAAGCGGGGCATCCGAAACTGGCCATGCGAAATGCGGTTGCGGTTCGGGATGTTTCAGGAAAGGTGGCGGGATACCCTCTGGTAGCCTCTGGTTATGACTAACATAGCTCTGGTATAGATGGCCAATAAAACAAGGTGATTTTGCCATTAAAATTTGGTGATTTTCCATAGTTATGTTCCTTTATCAGAGGGCAAGCTAAAATTATGAACTTTCCCAAACCAAGACGTGGTGAACAACTTGTAGGGATATGGCATACATGAAGGTTCCCAGAGCTTTAGGCCTTAGGCAACATCCACATAGTTGCGTGACTACATTCGCCCCTTAAGTCCAGAATGATCCAACATATTCAGTTGATTTGGAGGCAGATATCCAAGGTCAACAAAAAAGCCCTTTAGGCAGAAAATTTCCCCATTGGTAAACCCATTGTGCGATGCCATTCCGTCAAAAGATTGGTAGTTAAGTCCTCGGCGTTCCGGTGTCCCCGGGAATAAAATCCCTATGAAAGGCCCACTGTTTGTAATGATGTTCTATATGAAGGAATTTGTTAAAATTGATGCCACAACTTTTTTGATGCTGAAAAGCCCCCCCCCAGACCTGCCCGCCCAAAAGCCCCCCATGGCATGTCTTTCATGCAAATTCCATGTCATGTCATACATGGACATGATGCCACAGTCATGGCAAGACATCCCGTGTTCAGACATGACATGTCATACATGGACATGCCATGGTCATGGCACGTCATGCCATGTTCCCATCTCATGTGACCATGACATGACAAGCTCCACATGAAGCAGGTCATGCTCCCAACTCATGTTCAACCGTTCATTTCTTGAAGATTGGTTTCAAAACTCCTTTCGGTTTCGAAGAGCTGGCCACCTCTCTCTCCTTGCGGTGAAAATGTGAAACGGTGGAATCTACAATGGCATTGAACATTGCCACATGTTTGGGTTCTTCTCCCTTCAACAGCTCTTTTTGGACAGCTTCCCTCACATCTTGGAGCGATAAAGCTTTGGGGTCCGATTCCTCCATCAAGGTTTTTACAAATTTCTTCGCTTCTTTCTTGAAGTCTCGCTGATCAGGGGACTCATCTTTCTTCTTTGGCATTCCTGCGGGGGCCGGACAGTGGGCTAGTGTTAATGTTGCATGAATTTGGGACACCCATGGCAGGCATGCAAGTCCATGGTGGTAAACGAAACCATGACTCAAACATGACACACATGGGAAACATGGCCAACAAACATGAATACCCACGGTCCCTAACATGGCAAGCATGGCAAAACTCCATGGATGACAAGCATGAAACTCCATGTGTGGCAAGCATGGGCTGGCCAATTGGGCTGAACCAATTGGCCAGCATCATCCCGTCGTCCGCATGAGCCTGTGAGCACGGTACAAGGCTCCCCGCTGGGTGCTGGACATTTTCAATCCAGTCAGGTCTATCCAGCAGACTTTATCCAGGATGGAGAATGGAATTTGGTTCTCCGAGTCCAAGGTGAACCCCCAAAGGTGATTCCGTCAAGGGGACCACGCCAAAGCGGTGGGACATGGTGTTCAATGCCTCCATGACAGCCGGAAGCTCCTTCAGCTTTCTGCCCATGTTGGTGTAGCGCTGGCAAGTGCTGAGGTTTTTAAAGGACCAGATGTCAGAATGCATCCTCCCAAAACCATGACAGTTGGTATGTCAACATGAGAGCATGTCAGCATGATGACAAGCATGTCAACATGGAGTCATGGCCACATGGCACCATGTCAACATGGAGTCATGGCCGCGTTATGTCGACATGGAGTCATGGCCACATGGCATCATGTCAACATGGAGTCATGGCCATGTTAAGTCGACATGGAGTCACGTCCACATAGCATCATGTCAACATGGAGTCTTGGCCACATGGCACCATGTCAACATGGAGTCATGGCCGCGTTATGTCGACATGGAGTCATGGCCACATGGCATCATGTCAACATGGAGTCATGGCCATGTTAAGTCGACATGGAGTCACGTCCACATAGCATCATGTCAACATGGAGTCTTGGCCACATGGCACCATGTCAACATGGAGTCATGGCCACGTTATGTCGACATGGAGTCATGGCCACATGGCATCATGTCAACATGGAATCATCACAACAACTGGTTGCATGGCAACACGGAAACATGGCAACCTGATCAACCATGTTATGGCATGCAATCAGTGACAAATCCATGTCAATCATGTCATGACATGTGAATGGGAAGGCCAGGGTGCCATCCCCGCATGTAGCTCCCTTTGCTCAACAAGGCCTCGATCGCCTTGTCCTCCGACATGGCCATTTCGGTCATTGCGCCGTCCACCATCTTCGCTAGGACAAGGCGCTTGTCGGCCGCCCCGAGTCCAATGACTTGCCGGTCCCGTTCTTCGTCTTCGACCAGACCTACTAGTAGGTTAGGTAACTCGGAGCTAAGGTGAGAAATTAACATGAACTCCCTGATGCCAATAAGTGTTGGAAAACTAATTCAACCGTGGTGCCGAACTTTGCCAAGTCGAAC